GTTTATGGAAATCAGCAGTGCCACAGATTTCTTGCATGAATTTTGCAGGCTAACGTAGTGCCTGAATTAGTCAAGTTTTTTAACACAAATAAAATAGCATTATACTTTTCATTTAGAGATGCTGAGATATGGAACTTTGTGAAGTCCCTTCTGATGCTAGGATGGATGAGTTTGTGGAAAACCGTGGTACCAATGCCATAGGAAGTGAGAACCAATTGTAAAGAAGTGTTTCTGTTGGTACTTGATTGTTGTAATTAGTGACTGAAAGGTAGTAACTTACTCTCTTTGCACAGTTTAAACAGCATTTGCTAAATGTGTGAGTATATTTTATTGTCAAAGAATTGCAGAGAAAAGCTAAGGTTTCCACATCAATATTTGGTTACACTGACTGAGGAATGTGGCAAATTTGCTGCTGTTGGTGGTACAGAAGAGGAGAACAGAGAAGATGGCAAAGAAGGAAAAGTTGTTATGTAGAGTATTTTTACTCTAATACAGTAGAAGCTAATTTTGAGCTTGTGATTCTTACCAGCAGTACTTAATTTGACATATCACACTGATAGTATGAGAAGTGAGTAAAATTGTGTATTAAGTGCTTGCAATATTTTACTGTTAAGGAACCTGACTTAGAAGCTCTGGCAAGGCAAGCAGAGGAAAGGAAACAAAGAGCAGAGAAGAGACATAGGAAAGCCCTGAAAGAGCAGAAGTACCAAAAAGAAAAATTACTTCGTGAGCAATCCCGGTATGCAATAGTTGTCTAGTTTTGTTAAGCATAGAATGCATTTTGTAGTGTCTCAAGGCGAAAGGCAAAAATCTTGATGCTTCTTGCTTGGAGCTTTTTTAATCTTTAAATTTTATGGGTTAGAGAATTAATGCTTGTGCACAAAGCTTGTGGATTTTAATAAGAATTACAGTTTTAAAACAAAGACAAAAATGTCAAGTATACAAGCTGGCCTTATAAACTCTCAATGAGTAGGAAGACTTTCATTTCTATATCACTCTTTTCAATCTAGATTGTTGACTGGCAGCTATTCAGTGATATATGAAATGAAATGTTCTCAGGCCAGTTCCTTATGGAGGGTGACCCACCTGAGAAAAGGACCTGTTGCATGTGCCATGGTCTTCCTTCCGAGCTTTCTTTTTTTTGAGCAGATTGGTCCAACTTGAGCTGGCATGAAAAATGAGCTGTGTACTCTTGGGGATAATTGTGCTTGAGTAGAGTTGAGATCTATTGATTAAATACTTAGTTTTGTCCACACTTGAGCAATTAAAATTATGTTGAAGTGATGCAGTGCTTTCTGAAAACTCAAGTGAAAAGCAGGGATTTTGCTTTGTTCTTTAGAAGCTTGAGTGTATTAACATTTTTGCATTACTTCAAGAAATTAATTTTGCATTACTTCAATAAATTAATTTTCCAATGCTGCCTTCCAGCATTGTTGACTTCTCAGTGTTCTTGCCCATTCCTGTCTCCCAAGCTTTCAGTTCAGGTACATCTGAATCTGTTTAGGTTTGCCTTTTATTTTGCACAGTACTGTCATTGTTGCTTAAAAATTTTATTTCTTTCTTCTCTTTTGTGGTGGTTTTTTGTGTGTGTGGGTTGTTCCTCTCCCCGACCCCAAGACGAACAAATGCACGAAAACATGCTCTGGAAGTGGAAAGACAAAGAGCAGCCAAAGTTGCAAGCCTGCCACCTCCTCCGCCGCATCCTCTTGAGGTATGTATCTGTGATGCGATAGGGACCATAATTTCAGGGTACCATGTAACGGAATGATTTACTTATTGGTCTGACTCCTCACAACAGGATGTCCAAAATTGCTATTTTGGAGAGTGGTTCAGTAAAAATCAAGAAAATTAATGAATTATGTATTAGCAGACTTCTTGCTACTAACTAAGCTTTGGTATTTGTTTATCTCTTGTTATGTGTGAATTTTATTTCTTGTCATCTGAGATCTTATTTTTGGGGTTAATGTGTCTTTTAAACTTTATCATTATCTCATTTTCATTTAATACCTACAGTGGTTTTAAGCTCTACAGGGATCTTTCTCAGCATGTGCATACCATGTCAGACTTTTGTCATAATGATGCAGTAGTAGCATTTTGTTTAGTTCTGTAATATAGACAGTTCTACCTTTTTAGCTGTGGGGTTTCTTGTTGTGTTTTTTTTCTCCAATTTCTTTGTTGCTTGTAGGGAATGCTAAATGTAGGGTAACCTGTTTAGTTTTGATAGGAAACCAAAGTAGGTACCTAAGCTTACTGGGGAGGAAAGCAGATAAAACCTGTGTTTCTAATTCTATGCAGTATCCCTTTTTAGGGGGCAGCTTTGTACCTCTTTCGTGGTGCTCTGATTTCAGAGAGATTCTGCATAGGTATAGAAGTTACTGTAGGATTGCAGATCTGAACTGCAGGAAGAACATTATGTGCATTTTTACTTTGGAGTTAACTTTTAGTAAATTTAATTTAAGGGAACTTCATTAATGTGGAGTTTAAGTTGCCTTATGTGTTCTGCCCTTTCAAACTGTCAGGTTCAGGGATATTCAGACCATTGACAAGAAGAGAAAGGATTAAGGTATATTAATTCCTCTCAGAGCCAGTGAAGTTGTCAAAGCTTTTCCCAGCTACATCCTTCATGTTATGTATAGGTTAGTGTGTTGGATAGTAGGGGTTTCGTACTGATGTATGTGAAGAAACTGAGTAAGGACTGACCCTCACAGTTTTCTGAACGATTAGAAGAAGGAGTGCCTACCTACTTTCATTTCTGTCCCTTGGTACGTGCTTCTGTGTAGGTCTCCTCACTGGCTGACCAAGGGTTTTCTTGTTGTGGAAGTTAGATATGAGTGAGGATTAAAGCAAGTGGTCTAAGGGAGTGGTAAAGTTTGGGTTTTTTTCTGTTGAAGCATATGCACTATTGGAATTTAGAACAGATGGAAGAAGGTCCTGTATAGTACAGTTCGGTTAAGTTCAAACACTCATGCTGGTGTTCTCTTCTGCATTGTTCCATGTGATGTGTTCCCAGTGTGTCTGCTGTAGAGCAGATGAAGGCTGCATCAGTTAAAACTTTGACTCTTGATTTCCTGGTTTTCAGATCAGATGCTTGTGTTGCTCAACTTGGCGTTGTTGGAAAAGCATGAGATGCTGCAGCATTGCTTTCTAGTAACTTTTGCAGTTTAAGATATGTTTTATGTTGCTCTCCAATAAAAAAAAAAAGTTTCTAATTGGCCACCAAAAGTCAGCTACGCTGAACATGTATATTTGTAGATGATTTAACACCTAAAAAAGACACAGTACTATTTTATATTTTTCATCTAACAACATCATCAGTAATGCATCTCTTTCCATTTTACAAGTGTGGAATTTCCTTCTTATTCTTTTAGTCTTTTTTACCAGGGCAGGCAGGAAGACTTTGTTCAGGTTTCCCCTGGTTCTGGTACAATCGCATTTGCAGTTAGGTTGGATGACAGGTCTGGGTCAGTATTCTGTTTGAGTATTGCAGAATCATAACTTCCTTTCCTGAAATTCTACAATTTAATGCATTTCCACCCATGAACAAATGTCCTTTACTTACCTTTTCAGCAAACATGATTTTAGCTGCTTTTAGCAGAGTTTGCAAACGTCTGGGTTTTTCTGTAGTATATGGGTTTTTGTAGAGGAAAGGGATTGCATTGTTTAAATATAGCACAGCGTTCCAGTTTGATCCATGTAAAGACTAGCTGACTTCGGGCCTTTTTGCTAGATTTTAATCCTTTTGTCATAGGCCTATGTTGCTGGGATGGCACAGGGTGAAGGATTAAGTTATTTTCTTGAAAAAGTGGCTGGATACTATGTACTGCATAGCGCAAATGCTAAGTAGTTGAAAGATCAGAGATGATGAGAGCTGTGGCATATTCCTAGTTCTGTATAGAGGGAGAAAACAAAACATGATAACTGTCAGTTTCCAGGGAAAAATCTGAGGCTTTGTCTTGCAATTGCATTACACAAAAGGCACATAACTTGAATTGCTTAACTTTACTCTAAATCGTGTGAATTACAGCAAATTACAAGGTCATCTGTATAAGCATGCTTATTTTCTTGGATCAATTTACATAAAGAGCTTATTAAACGTAACTATAATCATAATCTGATGCCCTGTTGCAACAAAAATTGAATAAAATTTCATAAAATGGGGCCAGGGCAGTGTTGTTCATTGCAGGATTACTTAGAATATAAGAAACCTTTTCGGCAGATACTCCTGTTAGTGTTACTTTAACTAGTTACAAAAGAAGTGTTTTTACTCTAGATGTGTTGTGATAATCAAGTTTAATTCTCAGAAGGATAGCTTTTAGGAATTTGAGGCCTTATTTAGTTAGACCAACTGTTAAATTACTTAATTGAAGTTAAGCTGTAAACACCATTTTATTGACAAATACCACAGAGTTCTTGTGAACTTAATTTTTTTTTTTGTATTATCTGCAATATTTTTATAATGGAAATAAAACCTAAAAAGGTTACTTTACTCTGTATTATCTGCAAGATTTTTATATAATGGAAATAAAACCTAAAAAGGTTACTTTACTCTTCTTGAGCATTCATAACATTTGTAGAGTTGGGTTTTCTTTTTTTTTTTTCACTTCATGATGCGTTGCTCTGCCAGTTTTGCAAAGTTTTAGTATAGAATTATTTACTTTTTTAGTGAGAAAAAAGAGGAAGTGGGAAATAAAAATCTCCTGATGGAAGTGTGGACAGATTCTTAACTGCAGTGGTTCCACCATGAGATGTAATAATGTGGAAAGTATTTTTATTTTTTCAACCTAAATTACTTTTGACGTTAATTGGAAAATTGCAGCCTCCACCATAATTCTCACAGCTTCACAGCTTTTGAATAAAATTCTGGAGATTTGATTGATTAAATGTAATTATTATTTTTTAAAAATGCAAAACTAACAGATCAGTAATTAATTCAGAAGACAGGTTTAATTATACATTCTGAAAGTAACACAGTACAGGTCAAATAGTCAGTGATCTGGCTAATGAGGTTTAGGCATGGGACTTGTCTGTTTTCAGAGCTGTAATCAGTATGTACAAGCGTTTTGGTTAATCTTGATCTGTTGCAATTACTATGATGTATTGATTAAGAAATTACCAATTTTTAAATAGCATTATCGTGTACAAATAAAAGTAAAATTCTTGATAGTGTGCTTTTATTTGTATGTGTCTCTTTTTTTTCCCCCCTTCCTACTAGAATAACATGCATTTGCTTAACAACCATAAAATAAGTTACTGAAGTTCTGTTACTCAGGGTCTCTTAGTAAAACTAGCTGCATATCATAGGATTTTAACTTAAGGACTTCACTTTCTACAATCTTTATAAAATAGCAAGAGGTAATCCATACAGAAATTTTGTATGCCTCATTTTACATGGAGATAAGTTTAAGCTATTCCTGAGATTTAATGCTGCTCTTTGTGTATGTGCATTTGTTTACAGTTACATTAGTTTTGAACTGCTCGGGCTGTGAAACTTGCTGTTTTAGTTAACATGGATAAGAATCCTTTTCTAGGAGAAGGTCTAGGGAAGAGGAAGCTGAGAGAAAATTAATGGAGGAGATGTTAGAAGTACAAAGGCAGGTCCTACAGAATACTGAGTTACCTAACCTGGCTACCTACCTCACTACTGAGAACATCAGGCTGAGCCTAAGAAGAAGGAGGGTCTGGTTGCTCGGTGTTCAAACTCTTTTGGACAAGAGTTGAAATGTGGTAGTGTACCCAAAACTTAAAAACCAAACAGACAAAAACAAACAACCACCCCCCCAAAAAACAAAAAAAAAAAAACCCCACCCCCCCCCCCAAAAACCAACCAAACAAACAAACCAATCCAAAAAACAAACACCAAAAACCTTAGTGTTATGTGAATAAGCAAACACTTTCCAGTGAAGTTATGGAAAATGCTCTTTTCTCTGGTCAACTAATAAATTGGACATAATGGGTTCTGAGTTTTGTAAAGGAAGTCTGTACTTGAGAAGTGTTATTTTGCTGTTGGTTGTGATTATATTGTGGATCTGTTGCCCTGCTTTGAGGTGAGTGTGACAGCTGTTGTCAAGTGGGATTTGTATTAGTATACTAAGTTCAAGTGCTTTTCAATTAAGGGAATGCTTTTTAAATGTGAAGGTAGAGCTCTCTGATTAATGTTAATTTGCTTGGAGGAGTTTGCCTGAGGTTGTTAGATGCTCTCAGTTGTTAAGCCATCTACATCTGCCTTATGCTGATGTAATTTATTTTTAAATAGATGTAAAGCTTTAACAATATTTTCAGGAGATAATTTGGAGGAAGTGGCTTTCTTTTAATACTAATTTAAGTGTCCAGATCACTTATGTTCTGTTTAGTTGCTTTGCTAGAGATACTGTTCTCTGATACAGTTGTACTTACGCTTTTCTTCCTAGAATTTTGAAGTGAAAAAAACTCCTGCAGTGAAGCCCTATAGTGCTGACAACTTTTCTGTTACACGTTATCATATTTCCGAGCTTTACGTGGACAGAGAAGTGGATGAAGAGCAGGTGATTTGTGATACATCCTTCTATGTATCTTTCTTTATATTGCATACAGTGTCTGGATATCAGCAACTGAGTTTTCTACAACCTTGTTTAAGAATATGAACTTCTATACGGCAGCCGTTACACTACTTACTAATCAGAATGTTAGATGGGGAGACTTGCAAGGCCTGTTATGTGCTCAGTCACTTGCGGGATCACAACTGGTAGTCCTTTCTGCATGAACAGACCTCTGTAAAGAGGTGAGTTCACGTGACTGGCATAACGTTAGGACACCCAAATCTTCTGCTTTGTGGCTTATGCTAAATTAATAGTTGCAACTGCCCTGCTTTTTTCTCTTCCTCTTTTTTAGCTATGTACTCCCAGTCTTTACCTCATGTTTGTACCAAACAAAACCACAAGGACAGAAGGAGTTAATCTGTAATATTGACAGTATTATTGATTTTACTTTGTAGTGTAGGAACAATAACCACTCTGCTTTAACAAATAAATAATATAAATGATTGTCCCTAGTACAGCTTGAAACTAGAACACTTTGACTAGAACACGTATGGAATGTGTACATATGCATTTTTTTTATAAAGGTAAAAAACTAGTTTGATCCTGCTTGCAACCAAGAATGATAAACCTTCAAAGGTGTTTTTATGGCATTGTATGCCTTTTTTTTAAAGTGCTTTTGCTACAGAGTTATTAATTTATTTATTGTTACATATGCTTTAAACTACCACAAAGAACTTCATGGACTAAACTATTGATTGACTGCCAGCCAGATGTTCGGTTAGCTGCTGAAAAAGAAGGGAGGCGTTTGGAGGAACTACACATACAGGCAGAGAGGGAACGAAAAGAGCAGCTTGAAAAGGCACATCTCAGAGGAAGTCATGCCTTGAAGAAGGTCCATTTGGCTCAGGTAGGCAAAGTAGTTGTGCCTCGTTTTAGTGTCAAAATGACCAGTGTTAAGTTGTAGGTAGCTGATTAGTAAAGGAATTACAGTTACAGGAGGAAAATGAATGGACTAAATGGAGTTTTCAGAATGCTTTTAAAAACCATTAAACTCAGTTGGCTTATTTTGGCTATCTGGAAGGAGCGAGAATGAAAGCACACAGGTTAAGACCAACCTTTAGAATTATATCCTTTTATTTTTGTTATCTAAATGTTTGACCAGCTATTAACTAATTGGTAATAATCAAGATAAACTTTAAACAGGTGATGTGCTCTACTTTTTTACATCATCTATAGTTGGAGTTGATTATTCTGTGCTTTCAGGGGAAAAATATTTTATTATGAAGAATGCAAAAGTTTATTTTTGTAAAACTTTTCAAAGCTTTTACTTAAAGACTGAGATTCTGTTAGTGTAGAAGTCTGAAAATATTGAAACTGTTTCCTTTAGGAAGTAAGAACTAAACTATTGAGAAAGGTCTTAGAGATATGCTCTGAAATTTGTTTTATTGTCTGTTACCTTTTGCTAGAAATAGCAAAAGCTTCCTGTTTTTCAGCTGAGATATGATTGCCCTTGAATGAGTAACCTAACTGAAATGGGGAACTGTGGAAATATTACTGATGCTCCTTAAGTTAGCAGGAAAAAAAACCCAACCAAACTTCAAATAAAGCTTTTTTTAAATAGTTTTCATATATAATTGTAGTGTGCCAAGACTATTTGGTTCACATTTTAAAAAGTAGTAATTGCTGAAATATATGCTAAAAAAAGTAACTTGCCTAAGGTAGTACTCACTTGCTGTGTAAAACAGAAGATTTCATTCTGTTGAGGAAAGCTGGCCTACAGGTGTACAGTCTACTCCTTTATTTAACGTTAGATCTTCTAGGTAGTATTGATGACTCTTGTGTTTACAGGTCAGATACAGTCTCCTCCCTAGAATAAAATTAACTTCAAACATTAAGGATTAGTAAACTTCATAGTAACCAAATGAAAGTGTTTTATCAGTCCTGACATGTGACTGTCTGAATGTGAACACTAAATGTTTGTTATCCCTTATGTTATTCCTCCTTTATACTTGAAGGATAGAGAAAGGCTACTGAAAGAACTTGAGCAAATGCAGAATATGGATCGGATGCGCAGAAGACAGATGGTAGCACAGCTGCCACCTCAAATTTTTGTGCCTGCATACAAACGCATGGAAATAAAGGAAGAATGGCAGAGAGAACTGGAGTTTGCATTTGAAGATATGTACAGTGAAGACAGGAGTAAGTAATTTGCTGGAGGCTGCTGAATCTTGTAGGCCAGTAGAGGAGAAGCTGCTGCAGCTGCCTGTTCCCAGGTCCAGCTGGTTGCAAGGCTGTGTGTGCATTCACAGTAAGCGCACACACATACAGGCTTTCAGTACACATAAACACAGGTGGCCACACAGACCAATGCAGAAAACATAGCACTCATATTAAACACAAACAGCACAAGTGGCTTCATCCTTTTCATTGCTCTGGCTGATCAGGATGAAGGCCTGTTGGTGGGATATACGTCTCTATATACAGTATGGATCCCTCGAGCAGATGGTATTAGACACTCAAGTCTACTCAGCAGCTATCCCCTGCATCCTAGGTGGTGTGGTTTTAAACCTGCCTGGCTTTCAAACACCGTGCAGCTGCTTGCTTACCCTCCCCACATCCCAGGGCTGGGGGAGGGAATTAAAAGGGTAAAAGGAAAAGAGACTCTGGGGTTGAGATAAGAACAATTTAATAACTAAACTACAGTAATATTGAAAAGAATAATAACAATAATATATACAAATATACAAATGAGTAATACATAGTGATATGGCTCATCACCCAATGACCAAGGCTCAGTCCATTCCTGGCTGATGATCCCAGAGCACAGAAAGTCCCAAAACCACAATCCCAGGAAAGAGATAAAAGCCCAAGTGTCCAAGAGACCAAGAGCTGACTGAGAGAGAGTGAGCTGACCCTGAGAGCAGGGCGACGCAGAGAACACAAGAGTGAACTTCCAGACCAGGTGTCATCTATGCACTGGGCATGACATGCATGATATGGAATAGATTATTGGCCAGTTTGGTTCTCAGTCCTAAACCTGAGGTCAGATCCTAGGCTAGTGGTTGGAGCTGTGCTTCCTTCCAGCTTATCCTGCATCTGCAGACACTGACACAGCAGAGAAGCTGAAAAGTCCTTGACTGTCCTGGCAGCAACTATAAACATAACGACATTATCAGCCACCTTCTCAGCACAAATCCAAAACACAGCCTCTTACTAGCTACTATGAAGAAAGTTAACTCTGTCCCAGCTGAAACCAGGACACTAGGTCTCTACCCGTCACTCTGTGGATCCCCCAGTAACAGGTCTTAAGACACCTAGTCTACCCAGTAATTCACCCTGGACCCTGTAGCCTTCCAGTTACCTCACATGTCCACATATGCACTGGTGTGCTCAAATACGTGCTATGGATCACTCAGTAAGTGGCTTTAGACACTGACTCTACCTAGCAGCTGGCCCTTGATCCCTAGTCACTTGCTGGCTCCTGGGCATATGAACCCCCTACTGCTACACTCCAGTTACTGCTACACTGACCTAGTTGGGTGTGTGAATGTACGGACAGACATACACACACTGGAACCCTGCAGTAACTGACCTTAAATACTCAGTCTACCCAGTAGCTGACCCTGGATTCTCTTGTCTCCAGTCATCTCCAAGATGCATGCATGTGTGCTGGCAGGTTTCTTAGTTGACACCGAGACCCCATGGTCTCCCCTGAGGTTGGCTTGAATGCTGGAATCTCCTGATCCCTCCACTAGCCAACTCGCACATCCATTGGCCTCTCCAGTATCCAGCCCAGTCTTACAGCTGCTTGATACCTAGCTCCTAACATTCTTGCTGGCTAGTCTGGTTTGCAGTTTGCTAGCCACTGCATGTTGCTACTCATGCCCACATAATATGCACTCATGCTGGTCTTTGCCGTTGGGAGTGCTCTGGACACAGGTGCCTCTGTGACTTTTGGTCCCCACTCCAGTGGCTGGCCTTTATATATCCGTACAGACACACATACAAAACAGAGGGTTTCTTACCCAGGAGAACTGCTAGAAATAGAATTTAGTGAGAGGACAGGACAGACTGTCAGGAACAGTGCATGGCCAGACAAGTGTACTGACTGGGCTCTTTTATCACCTTATCATATTTTTCCTCACTCTTGTTCCTCCCCAGATGAACTTGATACTTTCCTTTCCCTGCCTTTGGTTCCTCCCCTAAATATCTGTAATAAGCATACGGTCCCAAGATGATCTTCCCATGTGTCCCACACCCTTTGTAAATAGTAATCCCCTCGTCAGTAAGATGATCCTGGGAGAACTGTTGACTCGTCTGCTAGGATTTCAGACCTGGACCATGTCATCCATCACTCTGCAGTGACAGCCCTGTGAGCAGCCAGGTCAGGGTGTGTCTTTTCCCTGATGAAGTTATTGGGATCCTCCTGCTGTAACTGTTCTTGTGTGCGGCTTTCTGTGTAAAGATGAGCCTTTTATCATATACCCTTTTATTTTGAAAGACATCATATATTCTAGTGGAAAACCTTGTAGAATTTCTGAATTAATAGATGGGTAATGATCTAAACGGTTTTGAATCTTCTATTTTGGAAAAAAAAAAATAGTTGGATGCAATCTGTTGTGAAACAAGCTCTTGATATTTGAACTTCTTGAGGATTTGTATGATGTGTGTTGTCTTGCAATGTTGTTTGCTTTTTATTCCGGTTGAACGTTTTATGTGGTTGTGTTCTTTTAATTAGAAATGAAAGGAGACCTGATTTTGCAGTTTGAGCCACAACCTTTGCCAGCCCCTTCTGATAGATCTCAAGATAATGATCTTGATATCTCTTTGGAGCAAGAATCTGCTTGTGACACTCAACCAGAATCTGCTTGTGATACTCAACAAGAATCAGGACAGATGGTGGAAGAGGAGGTCCTCAATGAACCAGAAAGTAAAGCTTTTAAACTTTGCATTTAATGTAAACCTTTTTGTTTATAGTAGAACAGATTTAGTTTAATATATCAAATAAATTAACTTTAGTATTAATTAAAATGTCTTAAGTACTAACATTCCTTAATGCCTGTATTTCATTATCAAGTGGTTTATGAAGTTTATAATGGATGATAATACTCTAATGGTTAAGAATTTAAAAATGAAAATGTCTTCTTTTTCTAATGTAATTCATTAGTATACTGAGAATAATTTTTAATTGTAAGAGCTACACTGTTAGTAGTCATAATATAATTCCAGTATAATTAGTGTAAATTATGGGATGATGCTGGTATGTGAACTTAAATATTTTTCATTTTGTGTTTTGAAATATTTCAAAGTTAAAGCTTGACTTTGTATGGAAGTCTACTTATTGTATGTCCTTTACGTTCAGGTTTGTGATTGAGTTGCCCCATATTGTGAGTAGGCCACAACAGTTGAGCACATGTGTGTACTCTTTGCTTGTGGCATGTACAGGATAACGTGATGTGAACAAGAAGTATGTGACTGAACTGCTGCTTGGCCAAGCATTTCTGCCACATCCGTTTGCTGGCACAATCTGTTTTTCAGTCTGTGGTGCGTCATGTTGCCAGTGCTAATACAAAGGAGAGCACGGGAACATGCAGGTGGGGGGATAGTACTGCTTATTTCTGCAACAGTACAGTCTAGGAGTAGTCTGACTGTGAAATACTAGAACTAGCTTAGCGCTCCTTTTATAGTGTGCAGAGACAAATTACTGATTCTCTCTTGCAGGTAAGAGAAACTATTGTTAAGCTTTTAAAACTTGATAATATACCTGAGCTATTTGTTCAAGTGTGTAAGCTATTAAAACAACAGAGGTGGTTTTTTATGATGTGAAGACATTTATTACCCAAAACTCTTAACAGGATATATTCTTTATAGGTCATGAAGAAGCAAAAACTCACCAACCTCAGTCAAGACTTGCCTTAAAGAAATTGCTGAACAAGATTAGAAGCCAGAAAGAGGAATGGACATCAAAAAGTGAGAGAGAGATTCAAAGTGAAGTTGAGACTATCGAATCAGGCACAATTGCTAGTGAAGAGAGACCATTATGTGATTTAGAACCTAACTTTGAGCAACAGAAAAATACAGTGTGTGAAGCTAAAGGTATGTAATACATACTTAGATGAAAAATTCTTGTGTAAGAGCAAAAAGACTTGTAAAGGTGGACTGTAACAAAAACTTTTTAGTTAATTTTCAATGGTGGTATTTTGTCATGTTGCCAGAAAGTACAGTTCTCCTATCTTTGCCCACAGTGCATTGTGGATTTGCTGAAACCACCAAGAGGAGAGGCTTTTGCTCTTATGTCCAACTTGCCCATTAAGATCTTGTGAAGAAAAGATGTCAAAATACCTTGTATCTTTTCAATCTCACCTAAATTGTTGTCATGCTTGGTGTTGCAATGCTTTAATAGGTTTTTGCCTCCAGGAGTAGAATTCTCAGTCCAAAACTGGGCATTGAAATTCTAGACCTGTTGAACTGGAAAAGCCAGATGCTTCAGAGATTCACAGCTAGAAATGCACAAGACAGGCATGAGCTGATGTGTCTGAAATTATGTGGGTTCTTTTTCTGCTTTTAGGCACCATTCTGAAAAACCTCATTGTAAAACTGGAAATTGTAGCAATTAGATGTTCCATGTTGTTCGGTAGCCAAATCATTTTGGGGGTTGCTTCCCATTTCTATCCTTTATGCTCTTTTGGTTATGCTAGTGCTAAAGTTGATGAACTTGTATGCTGAGTGGGATTTCTGAAGTCTGTTAAAGAGATTAAGTTGTGGTGGGTTTTTTCTGCTTTCATAGAGTGCTTGTTTTTTCTTAAAAGAGGTGAAGCAATATGAGTCAATCGTGTACGTGGATACACCAGCATCATTCCTGGGGACTGGAGAGTGCAACATGAGTGAAAGCATGTGAACATGAGTGAAAGCATTTCCCTCTGGGGGAAATGGGCAGCTGTTTGAAGGATGTACAGGATGAAGACTTGCTTTTTGTGCAATAGCCAGATGTTGGCTCATTTGCCCAGAGAGTGCCAGTTTTAGACCCTCTTTGTTCCAAGAGGTTCATGTGTGATCTTGCTATTAGGCTACCAAGTAATCTGGTTAGAAGCAATCTTCAGTCTTGTTAGAGCTGAGCCATTACTGTATATTCAAGAAAGATACATGATAAAGGGACATTTAAGGCTTGAATAATACAAAGAACTGATTTTCCAGCTTACAGTGGCAGGCAGAATAGTGGGATGGAGATGGTAATCTTTTCAAGAGCAGTTTATGCATTTTGTTTGGAGAAGCTGGGAAACTAAAGCAAGATGCAAAGAAGATCCAAGGCCCTTTCTGATTGCAATTACAGTTAAATAACATGTATATTTTAGACTCTGTGGAAATGTTGGAAAATACAGTTGCAGCTGAAAATTCGGTTCTAATCCATCCTCAAGAACAAGCAGCTAAAATTAGAATGGAAGAGGAGAGACAAAAGTGGGTATGTGTGTGTATACTTATTCCTATCTCGGTTACGGTGTAAAAAAAGTGATTTACAGAAGACTTTAAAATGCTTCAGGTTATATAGCAGCTAGAGACCCTTTTAACATGCTTGGAACACTTAAATAAACTTTACTGTAACATTTTGTATTAGCCTCTGTGCATTAACTTTTTAAAAGTAACTAAATCTGTAAAAATAGTTAAACATAACTAATCTGTAGCTGGATTTAGAGTGGAAAACAACAGATTTCTAAAAATCTAACAATCTATCTGCCTAATCTATAGGCAGGGGATGCCACCCTATGATTAAATGAGAATCCCAATTGTAGATTAATACCTTTGCTTTAAGGAGGATGTAGTAAACAATACACAACTCTGTGAAAACTTTACTAACCCTGTGTAATAACATAGCAAGGTCTGTGGGATTGTCTTTGGAGTGACAGGAAAAGCTTACAAACCTTGAGTATTTTGTGTGTGTGTTTTTTTTTTTTAAATGAACTAGGAAACAAATGCAGAAAGTTTTTTGTGACTGTAGGAATGCTGCAGTTATTATATTTAGAAAATAATAACATTTTGTATTATTTCATTATATGTACTGAAAATATAATGAAGTGTATAGACGTTTTTGTTTTAGATCCTTAGAGACCTCATACCTATTATATGGTGGTTTATCAGTTTAAAAAAAAGAAGTTGAAATTTGGGTCTTAATGCAGCCTTAAATTGTAGAGTTGAAGTTCAGAAATTCAGGAAACAAAAATTTGACAAAATAGTATAGCTTTATATATATATATAAAAAAAGCATCAGATCCTCTGTGCAAGTGTGGTTACTTTCTTTAACATTCATTTTCTCCCACTTTGCACCTGCCCAGGTGTGTATATTGCTATGTCCACATTAACTGTCGTCAAGTCTAGCTTTTTCTCAGGTTGCTCTTCCTGACATCCCCATGCAGACCGTCTCATTAAAGGCTGTTGTCCACTTCATCTTTGAGAGTATACATTTTAAAAGTATATATGCTGTTGTTATGCATGGATCTAAGCAATTTGTAGCTGATAGGTACATGGAAAGAGAAAAAAAAATAAACCACTTAAGAGATTTGTGGAGTGGTCTTAAAGTGGTTATACATTAGCTATTTCAGAATTTTTGTAAGGCTTGAATTAACATTTAAATGTGTTGAACTCTTGATGAAAACCTCTATAAAATGCAAAGTAGATTTCTGAATTCAATTTGAGAAAAGGACTTCTTTTGCAGCCTCAGGAAAATTATGTTGTATCTTGAATAGTTAGATTGTGATTTTATCCATTCTATTAATTTGAGAACAGATAATAGTGCATTAGTAAATGGATTCAGGAACTAATAGAAATATCTAGCCAGTAAATCAAAATTATTCTTGTAAACTTTGGAACTATTTTAAAAGCCTCTTACAATTAGGATATGTCTGTCACAAGCAATAAAATTTCGCTGTAATGTGGAACAAAGTTCTATGTGTCGTAGTGTGTGTGAGGGTCTTTGATTTCTTTGTCATTCAGTTCTGGAGGTTCATCCTCATTTTTCTTCTCAATAGAATGAGCAAATAGAGCAACAGAAACAGGAACAGCTGGCCTTGCTTAAACAAATTGAAGAAGAGAGAGCATGTTTGGAGGCTGATTTTCTGAAGATCCAAATGCAAACTCGTTGGGAGGAAGCTAAGAAAAAAAATGAGGAGGAAGAGCAAAGTCATCTGCTGCAAAGCCACAGTGTGCCTTCTACAGATCAGCAGAAGAAAGTGGAACATGAGGTGAAGAACTGTAGAAAATTGTGTGTAGTTTTGAAATTACCCTTATTATAAAAATCAAGAGCACCATTTGCTAATTTTAAATTATATCAATCAAGACAATCAATTTTTATTTCTTAGGCTGTGAATCAAGAGTTCATGCATATAAAACTTCCTTTTTGTCTAATGTAGAAGCTTGTATTTCATAGAGTCATAGAATTGTTTGGGTTGGAAGGGACCTTAAAGATCGTCTAATTCCAAACCCCCTACCATGGGCAGGGACACCTCTCACTAGCCCAGGTTGCTCAAAGCCTCATCCAGCCTGGCCTTGAACACCTCCAGGGATGGGGCATCCATAGCTTCTCTGGGCAACCTGTGCCAGTGCCTCACCACCCTCACAGTGAAAAACTTCTTCCTTATCTAATCTAAACCTTCCCTTTTTCGGTTTAGAGCTATTACCCCTTGTCCTGTAACTACATGCTCTTGTAAAAAGTCCCTCTCTAGCTGTTGTGCAGGCCCCCTTCAGGTACTGGAAGGCTACTTTAATGTCTCCTTGGAACCTTCTCTTCTCCGGGTTGAACAACCCCAACTCCCTCAGCCTGTCCCTGTGTGGGAGGTGCTCCAGCCCTCTGATCATCCTTGTGGCTCTCCTCTGGACTTGCTCTGACAGGTCCATGTCCTTCTTATGTTGTGGGCCCCACATCTGAACACAGTACTCCGGGTGGGGTCTCATGAGAGCAGAGTAGATGGGAAGACCTTTGACCTGTTGGGTCACACTTCCTTTGATGCAGCCCAGGACACGGTTGGCTTTCTGGGCTGCAAGCGCACACTGCTGGCTCATGTTCAGCTTCTCATCAACCAACCCCCAAGTCTTTCTCCTCGGGGTTGCCCTCAGTCCATTCTCCTCCCAGCCTGTATTTGTGCTTGGGATTGCCTCGACCCACGTGCA